TATATATATATATATATTTCCCTCCCATCTTTTTCCATTTTCAAACATTTTTGAAAAAGCTTGAGGGAGCCACTCGGGGGGGCAAAAGAGCCGCATGCGGCTTGAGAGCCGCATGTTGCCGACCCCCGGGCTAGGGAGAGGGAAGTATGGGCTTTCCTGCGTAAGCTGCTATCCCCTGACCTGAACTCAGATATGCAGAGGAGAATGATGATGATGATGTCACTAACTAAATAGTTCTGGACACATCTACTTATTTATTTATGATAATTTTGTTGATTTATTCTTGACACTCCTGGTCCTTCATTGTTTAGACCGAAATGATAATGAGGCATTTTCAAAAATGTCAAATGTTCTCATTTTTTTTATTTATTTTTTTATTTATTTTTTTTTGAGCTTGCATTTTTGCTCTTTAAACACTTGTCATTTCAACACAGTACTAATCGGTTTAATTAAAAGCCTTTGGTTCACTGTGAGTTGTTCTTGTTTTTTTTTTTTTTACTCTATTAATACCTTTCATTGTTTCTCGTAGAAAAAATATATATTTTTTTCAATTGATTGTCTTGTAATTGCATTATTTTCATCAGTAGTAGTGGTAATAGTAGGATTTTCTGATGTGTCTTATTTTTATTTGACACAGGTCTTCATGTAGACGAGACAGAGGATAATGAAGCTGTAGTTTCCACATTGTTAGACCTACAAAGACTACTATCAACCAAGCACCTACCAGCTGTGCGCCAATGGGTTCAGGTTTGTAGATGTAGAACATCACTTATAAATAAATTAACCATTTGTCATTTATGTAAACATTAATTGTAGGGATGTACAATAACTTTTTTCCAGTGATATACTACACACTACATACCGTACATATTTCGTGACCTTCTTAAAATGATGTCCCAAGTCACTTTTTCAGAAAACATGAAAAACTGAACCACATTCTGATTATCTTCTATGTATTGATAATTTCATTTTAGGCTTAGAATTGAATGATTTCTTTAACTATTTTCGATTTTAGCAAAGGTGTCCAGCATCCCGAGGAGATGTTTAAGGCAAACAAAAAATAAACTGATTAAATAATAAATTAACTCCAAATATGACTTCGAGTCTAACATACAAATATCATTCAAATAATCAATCATCCGTCTAAATATAACACCTAACATGCGTCATGGTAAAATAGTTACCAATTACCTGAATATCGCCCGGTTTACAGTGACGATTACAAACGATCACAGGTATATCAAGTTGAGAAAAGTGGCATGCAAACCTCAGAGGCTATCAGCCTTCACAGGCACGTCATCCTCCCTTCACTTCCTGGTCTCAGTCTCACTCGGCTACATGTTCCCACAAGTTTTTAATCCAGCGCTGCTTTTAAAGTGACAATGCTACATTTGTTCAAAACTAAGTATGGTTTGCCTGGTTTATATGTATATA